CAGGTATTACAGGAGACAACCCCCCCCTTAATGGCTATCCCCCCTTTAACGACCGACCCCTAGAATCATAGACAGGTTCAGATATTACAGGCTAACGATGGAACTAACGACCCATTCATCGGTTACCATTGCATGTTTCCAAGCGATACAAGGCGTTGTCTATATAAGACTCAAACTCACTGCGGATCCAGACATTTGAATTGAGAAAGCTTCCTGGAGAGGTGGCGAAACGTCTTCAAATCTTGAAAACCAAGTCCAGTGGATATTTTTCGAATTTTTACGGAATGACTATGACCTGGATGACTGAGAACCTTCATCAGCATTTCATACAAATCATTTTGAAGCTGTCTTTCAGTTTAAACTTATATGAATGATTTTAAAACATGATATAATAAAAGCATAGTTTTCTCAGCATAAAATGTAGATCAGGGGTGCTCAAGTCCAGTCCTCAAAAGCTACCATCCTGTAACATTTAGATCCTTCTCTTCTCTAACACACCTGAATCTAAAGGCTCAATCCCCCCATTTAGCTCAGCAGAGGCCTGTTAACGAGCCACTCATTTGATTCAGGTGTGTTGAAATGGGTAGCATCAAAAAGATGCAGGATAGTAGCTCTGGAGGACTGGACTTTAACCCCCCAATGTAGAGTGATTCACAAAACTGATAATATAATATAACTTGCTGTAAATTAAAGGTATATATTGGAATTTTGGAAAAATTTTGAATTTTTACAAATTTTGGAAAGACTTCTCTACTTAAAAAAAAAAAAAAAATGCACATGCACAACCCTGTACCCACTCGCAAGGGGGAGTGTCTGTTAAATGCATGTGAGAGCATGCAGGAGCCCATTTCTCCTCGTGCACGCTCTGTTTAAAAGTTGCTGTTTGCATCGCTCATACAAGCTTACTTTCCAAAAAAAGATGTGAAATTTTTCCACTATGTCAGACACGCCATCAGTAAGTAAAAATGGGGACAACCACATAGGACGGCCTTACATAAACATATCACCAGGATGATTGACAGTTAGGAGGACCACTTATTTTGATAATCCACCCAGAAAAAGAACATCCTCCACTATACCTTCAAAATAAACTCAGTTTTTCATGATCTACAGCTACTTGAGTTTGTATGTATATCATTTTGGTGTTGTAATTAGGATGTCTTCACTAATTGTTTTCATCTGTTCATTTTTTGTATTTGACTCTGTGTTGGTATAAGTCTATCCTTTGGTTTGTTAGATCATCTGTGTTTCCTTTCTTCATTTCCAGTACCCATTATTCATCCCTCTCTCAGCTCTCTGCTTTCTCCCACAGCTGTTCTCCATTCTGCTGTTTGTGCTTGCCTGGTTTTCCTGTTACTCATCACAACTCCACATTATTTAAGCTCATTTGTTGCTTTCTCTCATCGGTTCCTGTATGTTTCCCCTCATGTTCTGTAAACTGACCAGTTCTTTTATTAAATTCTACATCCATCAGGTATCTGTCTCTGTTCTGTCATCATTTGGTTCATAACCAACAAAAACAAAAGTGCATGACACTACCAAGATTTAAAAGGACATGACATTTTGACCAAAAGTAAACAACTGGCTATTTATTTATCTGAACATCACTCCCTCTTAAAGAGCTTACATTTTTCCCTGGATCTCCACTGAGCTCTGACATATGGTTTGTCAGCTTTAAAGTGCATCACTATCTTTCAGAGGACATTAACAGTCAGTTGATACGGAGGAAGGACGGCATAGCAGTAATCTTTGACGAGTCGTAGTGATGTAAAGATGATACACTGCTTGAAATGCATGCATGGACACACAAAATGAGGCAACAAAAACAGTGCGTTGATGGAATATGTTACCGATGTGTTTTTTCAGATTGATTTATAAAAAAATAAATCAGCTAAATTGTAAAATAATAACCCAAAGCTAATTTCTTTCTGCTTTTTCCTCAGCAGGTTGCTATTAACACATAATATACATTTATAAATCACCATACGTGCAGCAAGAATGATTCTAAAAGTGCATCAATGAAAAGAAGAAAAAAAAACCTAGAGGGAAAAACAGCTGACATTTTATAAAGTAGGTGGTAAAACTGACAGTATCAAACATGGTTATCAGACCTAACGCCCAAAAAGGGACTTCTTTTACATCTGTAACTTTGTTGACCAAAAATAAAAATAAAATACTCTTCATATTCAGCCTGATGAGATGTTTAATGTAAATTATTTCAACTTTAGTAAAACAGATGTGTTTAAAAATCAAACAGTATCAGTTTATCTGTGAAAATAACAGAAGGGTGTGTGTGGATGGAGGTTTTGTTAAGTATTTTGGGATTCTAAATACTTCAGCATAATGGAGGTCACTGCTAAAATCCACCAAGTTGAGAATAAAATCAATCAAATTCATTGACATTTAAATGTATGCAAAAACATTATCTTATAGAGCAGGGGTCAAGGACCCCCAAATTGATGGTGAGATGGAGCAGGGACCCCCTAATTATATATATTGTATGGAAATGTGTTATATCAACCTGGTCCTATAGTCCTATAGACCTCTGTTATATAAATTACAACATCTTCATAGTTGTTTTTATTCAGATGTTATGTGATATATCTCCAACAAAAGACCTCAGTCAGTCCAGGTTGGACAGAACACCTCTGATGTCATCATCTTGAGCACAGGCTCCTCTCAGGGCTGCCTCTGATGACCCACTGGACGTGGAGAAGATGAAGGAGATCATCTTTTGTTTCAGGAGGAACCAACCTAACCACGCTCCACTGCTTATCAACAGCTCAGCTGTAGAGGTGGTCAGCAACACCAAATTCCTGGGGGTACACATCACAGAAAACCTCATCTGAACCTTAAACACCACCTCACTGGTCAAAAGGCCACAGAAGTACTTGTGCTGTGGAGGAATTTTCCTCACTTCAGCTACATCCAGGTTTAGTGCCTCCTCCCCTTGGTGTGGAACAGCTTTCACTGCTGGAGTGCTGTTTAGTGCCTCAAACCTTCCAAAAAAGTTGTTCAGTTTATTTAGGAAGTCAGTGTTTGCTGCATCTACCGGGGGGAGGGTGTGTTGTAGTCTGTGATCACCCGAATGACCAAAATGAAAATACAGTTTTTCTAAGTCTAAGAAATACCACACAACTGCAAAATGCAATGAAAACAGCCACAAAAGCAGAGCATTAGAGAAGCAGCGAGGAGAAAGATATGAACTCTGGAGGAGTTGCAGAGATCCACATGGTCCAGTTTATGGAGAACTACATGATTATAATGCATGCCTGTCCAGCCAATGGCCAATTAAAACACATCCATCCTTACACATGGAAACACAGAAACTGTTTCCTTTAAATAGATAGAGAATTGCACACAAGCTGCTAAAACTTGCCCTAACAGCTGCTGACACATTCTTAGACACTGTAATGACCTCATCCTTATATGCTTCCTTTTGCTAATGTCCCATATGTTTGTTGATTTCAGCTCTTCTGTGTTTCCTTCTGTGAGTCAAAGTGCATCCTTATTATGTGAACAGAGCAAATTAAAATCCTTCTGAAACAATCTTAACTCTTTTCTTTAATGACATCAGAAAAGTAAAATGTAAATTTTATTTCCTTTTGAGATAGAATATATGAATTATTAACACAAAAGACCATTATGGCACATTACCGCCTCATGAGCAGAAATCCTTCCTGTATAAATATTAAGTCTGTTGACCTGCTATCTTCTCAAAGCACACACTCCATCAGGAATTCAGTTAACCGTTGCAGATCTACTACACAGATTTGTAATAGAAACAGAAAATGCACAAAAAATGCATGTATTTAAGCACAGAACCCGTCAACCCGACTGAAAAATGTGAGAAACACGAACAAAACTTCTTATTAAATTTTAAAATTTTAGTAGTTTTTGACTTCGGCGTTCCTCCTCTGAGTGTGTAAAATATAAATGGCTTGTCGAACAGGATTCAAAGTTGTGTTAAATGAAAGCAAAAAACTATTTTCGGGAACCCCCACAGGAAGCTTGAAGGATGAGAGGAAATGTCTTCAGTAACTTTTCCTTCCCGTCTCTCCTCCAAACTGAGAGGGTCCCTTCTGATGTACGGCAGAGGAAGACACATGGAGAGGTGCAATCTATTTTCCATTTAATGCATAAAGATCAAATCATTTTAAATGTTTCTAATCAAATGTTAAAGACTTTTCTAATAAAGAGGATGCCATATGTGAAAATCATGGCCGACTAATGCAGTCTAATATAAATGAAAAGAGCAGGAAAATCTTAGGCTTCTCAGCATTTTGACACATACTAACTTTTTGCAGGATATGTTCTTTTTCCTAAACCTAAAGTAAATTATTTTGGTTTTTGGTTATTTGCATTTAGCCACTGGACTATCATCAGGTAAATAGCATAGAGGTCTATTATGTCTTTTTACTCTTTGTCATATACTCTTGATTTCTTGTTTTACTAATGGTTTTAACATCTCAAGGGAGTAACAACACAGTATTTCTAATTAATAACCAAACCGACTTTGATTTCTATTTAATTTCATGCAGATCTTTATTCTCTTCACACATTACCTTGTAACTCTCGTGATTTTCAGGTTGCTTTAAAGGTATTCTGAAAAATATTCCTGATGTGTGTCTGTGGAATAACTGCGTTACCTTAGAGGATTACTTGATCAGCGTATGAATATTTACAATCTAAAAAGATGGCCTGAATTCCTATTCGACCTCTCAGACCTTTTTGGAGGTAAAACCTCACATTGTTCTGAAATCAGGGACACAAAGCGCTCACCTTTGTCTTTGTGATGTTATGCTGGACTGTGTTTATTAGATGAATCTCTCCAATAAGGAATATACCGCCATCTAGTGAAGACACAAACACATAACAGGACTGGAGCTGTTCTTCCTGTAAGGTTTGCTTTTTCACATGTTTAAAAGGCTAAAACTATTTGAAGTTCTCTTTGTACAAAAAATGTTTTCCAATTAATAAAAAAAAATCAGATACAGATCTTTGCAGTTGTCAACAACAGCAATTGTAATTATTTATTGGCAATGTGAAGAATACTCCAAACAGACAGGGATTTAAAAATGCAATTTCTCTACGTCTGAACATTGGCATCCGATTGAAACAGCCCATTTTTGTCTTAATGTTCTAATTCTACCCAAACAAAAATGTTTATGGTCCAAAAATCCCAAAGATAACTAACATGATGGAAGAAAACCACAACAGTTAAAGAATAAAAAGACCTAATATGAGTGACCTATAAACAAAAACCCTCCTGAAAAAATACACAAATCATTCACATGGAACCTTATAACCAGAACTGATTCTTCTTTTATCTTTGTGCTCACAGTTTGTAGAGTAATAATCACATTTGTAGAACACGTGTGCGTTCAAAGATAAGAGGAAAATGTTCTTTGTGCTTTATCTTCCAACATGATGCTGCTTCATGAAACCAGTTATTTTAAAACACTTTGCAGTTGCAGTCTTTAATTGTAGTTGTAATCAATAACAATTCAGTGTATTTTATTCAGCCCTCCTTCTCAGGTTTGTAATGAACATTTCCTCTATTTTCACAGCAGTAAAAAAAACAAAAAAAAAAAGGAAAACAAGAAACCTGGAAAATGTTTTGGCTGTATGAATGTGTTGCATCACTCCTCACTTTTTGCCTTCAGAAAATCCTCCTCATCACACAGCTTTCCTGCTCTACTATTTCTCCTCTGCCTTGTTGCTGCTTTTGTCGCGGGGAACACGGCCCATGTTAAAAAACTCCAAGTTGGGCCTCATGTCCGTCAGATGGGCAAGCCTGTTGGACATGGCAAAGAAAGCGGCGATGGCGGCGATATCCCAGGCGTCCTCGCGGTCGAAGCCGACTTCCTCCAAAGAACGGAAGTGTTCCTCAGTGATGGTGTCACAGCGACACACGGCCATCGCAAAGTCCAGCATGGCGCGCTCCCGAGGCGTAAGCTCCGCAACTTTGTAGTTAACAACAACCTTAAATGAGAGAAACATCTTTTGAAAAAGTTCACTGGCAGCACAAAATGATTTAAAGCTAGTTTTTCCAAATACTTTATGTGAAAAACATAAACTTGAAGAGCGTGTCATTTGGATTATTATAGGAGATCTATAGCTCAAAAACTACTTTGTTTTTTTAAACCAATTACTACTTTGTTTTAATTTATCACAAATTGTTCATTAACTATTTTGTTCATGACTGTAACATGAGAAAATGTAACAGAAATTAATTTACTTCTATAAATGAAAAGCATGTAAACCTACTTGTGAAGTGCAAACATTTGTTATACACATTATTAGAGATACACCGAGCCAATATTTTTATCGGTATCGGTCCAGATATGAGGAAAAAAAACTAGATTGGTATCGATGACAGTTGACTCGATATAGGGGCCGATCTATTCATTCTAACTCTATGCTATGCTCTGCCGTCATGCGGCAGCACAACAACACAACACGGCCATATTGTTTATGATGGAGCATGCGAAAGGATCTGTGTAATGGAGGTTTTTCACGCTCTCTCAGCCTACTAGCCCAATGGCTACGTGCAATATTAGTGGGAGAAATGTTCCGAGGGTGTTCCAATGGCGGTGTTAAATTTTCAAACTATGACACCACCAACTTAATTTAACACCTCCAGAAATTTTATAACAAAGAACTTACTGAGATTATCTGATTAGCAGGGTTGCAGAGATGATACCGATGATAATGATAATGACACTTTGTTTTTTTACATGTTGACCAAGTCAGAGAACTTTTGGTTTAAGATTTTGTGCACAGTTGTTAAATAAATAAATTAGTCATATTTATATTTTGGTTGTAGCCTTTTTTTTTTTTTTTTTGAGGAAAAGGGAAGTCAAATCATATGCACAGAAGAATGATCCCAGTTTTTTATTTTCACACAATAAAACCTTTTTTTTTGGTAATAGTTCAGTGCTGCTTTTGGTATCGGTATTGGATCGGTATGGGCGGACATGAAACTTCAAATATCGGTATCGTATCGGAGGTGATAAAAGTGGAGGGACGCATCCCTACACGTTATAGAATAATTTTTTCCTGATTCAACTAAGGATTACTTTACACTATAATAGTAATAATATAAAGTTTTCTAATCATAAAAACAGAATCGGTAACAGACTCCAAGCATGCTAAGTGTATCATGACTGGCTTCCAGGTATATTTGTGTAATTTATTTTTGCAGTCTTGTATCCATTTAAGCATTAATTGTAACTACATTTCAAAGTGTGAGTGGTAAAGGTGTTTATAATAGAAAGTCAGGGAAATATTCATAATGATTTGGTATACGTTACTATACAGTATCTGAGCACAATTCAGCAGCAGACAACTGCTTTTGGACTTAATACAAATAAATGCAAAAAAACAAGCAGTTGTCGATAGACAATTTATTTTCAGGCGGTTTATTTTAGTAAATCTGGAGGAGGAACTAGGGCGGATAAAGGTGAAGTCTGTGATGACTTGTTTTGTACATCTGAATAATTTATGCACAGCAAGTTTCAGACTTCCTCCTTAGCCCAAACATTCAGCATGAAAGCTGCATACTTTTTAGTACAAAAGCCTCCTGGTCCTTCTGATCTGCCTTTAATTGTACCATTTCAAGAATCTATGCCTTCCTCTGAAAATATTATTATTTCAGCAGCAAAATACAAGACAAAATCTAAATTGAAAAAAATAAACGATTTTTAACTTTAGTTACAGATCAAGTAATGACAAGTGATGTGTTTGAAATCTGATTTTTTAACTGTGCCTTAAAAAGCAAAACAGAAGAAATGATGATACCTGATCAGATAGAGTAGGTTTCTTGGAGTAAATGCGGTGCAGGGCACCATGGGACACCACACAGTAAAGACATTTGTTGTAACTGCTGGTGGCAACAACAATCAGCTCCCGGTCTGCCTTGGTTAAACTGCCTGGAGGAAACAAAAGAAACAAACATGTTGAATAAGCTTTAAAAAAAACAACAACACAGACATAATATAAAAATACTTAGGGGAAGCAGTGATTGCTGTACATTAAACCTATCGTTCTGTTATCCACAATAAGGCACCAACTGAAACTCTCACAGAAATTAAAATTAATCTTTTTAATTTAGAATCAGAATCTCTAAAAAGCTGAGCTAGATATAACTCAATAGTTTTATATCAACAATGACAGATCATAGTAATTAAAATAAAGTCTAATGGAGCTAATTCAAGGCGGTGGTGGACAGATAAATTCATAAGAATATGATTTCTACGTATGGAGACACGTTTTAGTTGATTTGCTATCAACACAGTTCTACATAATTCCTGACAAAACATTAAGAATATGTTTAAAAGTTCCCTTTTCATTCATATTTCAATATGTTTTCTCATCAATGTGCGAAAGTTTGGGGCGATGCATGCTCCTGCGACAGGAGAGGAAATTCTTGTCAGGCAGGAATTTCTCGGGATTTATCTGTCCACCAAAACTCTCAATTTTAGGGCATCTATGCATAAGAAATATAAAACATTAAGAATATGTTTAAAAGTTTTCTTTTCGTTCATATTTCAATCTGTGTTCTCATCAGTGTGCGACAGGGTAGGTCATTCTCGGTAGGCAAGTATTTCTCGGCATAGCAGAGGTGAGTCTGATGTAGTGGGAAAGTTGCATATCATCTTTTGGAAAGTAAGCTTGTATGAGCGATGCAAACAGCAACTTTTAAACAGAGCGTGCATGAGGAGAAATTGACTCGTGCACGCTCTTGCACGCATTTAATAGTCATTACCTCTCGGAAATAGGTGAAGGGTTGTGCATGTGCATTTTTTGTTTTAAAGTGGAGAGGGTGGGTCATTTAAAAAATTAATGAAATTCCTCCACTATACCTCTAATATCCCCCTGAGGGAGATTCTCAGTCATTTTGCTGTCAGAAAAGCATCCTTCTAAGTGTTTAGTCTTTCATTTAGCAGTGTTGTTTTTTAAAACTCATTGTAATCCCATCAAACACTTAGCAACATATAAAATTAAACGTAATGTTACAAAGAAGCAAAACTTAATATCACTGATTCTATTCATCCAGTTTTACTCTAAAAACCCTTATTATACAGGCTGAAATATTTTTGATTGCTCTGTCCATTTGCTTAACATGCACCCTTAAAAAGCAGCAGCAAAGTACAGGGTGATAGTATGGAGATGTTTTGCATGTCTGTGGCTGACAGAACTTCCATATGCAAACAACAAGCAAAATAGGAATTTGTTCTGTATAGATCCCCTTTAATGACCACAGCCTTCTGTAGTGTCTCACAAGTGTATATTGAACATTTTATCATCCAATAGCTGCAAACTTTATCGTGATTTTAAGTGATAAACCAACACAGAGTAGTTTAATGTATTTGTTAAATTACACATAGGTTTTTTTTTTATTATTATTATTTAATAGTAAGGTAACTCCTAATGGTAAATGCATGCACTGGATTTGATCTAATAAAAATACATTGTGTTTGTGATTGCAACGTGACATTTTACTGTTCAAGGTTTACGATTACTCTGAAACGCTAGAAATATTGCAATTTCCCATTTTATAAACCCCTCTGCTTTTTGAAAGCATATTTTTTGCTCTAGTTTCTAATATGTAGGATGATTATTGTTCCAAGAGGAAACCAAAAGATCTCTAAAAGTGGAAATTATTAATAGAATCTTAAGGAAACTAAGGTAACTAATCATAGAGTTGATTAAATGTCTCCCACGCCAGGCATGAAGCTGTTGCAGAGCTACACTATATTGCCAAAAGTATTTGCTCACCCATCCAAATTATTGGAATCAGGTGTTCCAATCACTTCCATGGCCACAGGTGTATAAATTCAAGCACCTAGGCATGCAGACTGTTTTTACAAACATTTGTGAAAGAATGGGTCGCTCTCAGGAGCTCAGTGAATTCCAGCGTGGAACTGTGATAGGATGCCACCTGTGCAACAAATCCAGTCGTGAAATTTCCTCGCTCCTAAATATTCCACAGTCAACTGTCAGCTGTATTATAAGAAAATGGAAGTGTTTGGGAACGACAGCAACTCAGCCACGAAGTGGTAGGCCACGTAAACTGACGGAGCGGGGTCAGCGGATGCTGACGCGCATAGTGCGAAGAGGTCGCCAACTTTCTGCAGAGTCAATCACTACAGACCTCCAAACTTCATGTGGCCTTCAGATTAGCTCAAGAACAGTGCGCAGAGAGCTTCATGGAATGGGTTTCCATGGTCGAGCAGCTGCATCCAAGCCATACATCACCAAGTGCAATGCAAAGCGTCGGATGCGGTGGTGTAAAGCACGCCGCCACTGGACTCTAGAGCAGTGGAGACGCGTTCTCTGGAGTGACGAATCGCGCTTCTCCATCTGGCAATCTGATGGACGGGTCTGGGTTTGGCGGTTGCCAGGAGAACGGTACTTGTCTGACTGCATTGTGCCAAGTGTAAAGTTTGGTGGAGGGGGGATTATGGTGTGGGGTTGTTTTTCAGGAGCTGGGCTTGGCCCCTTAGTTCCAGTGAAAGGAACTCTGAATGCTTCAGCATCCCAAGACATTTTGGACAATTCCATGCTCCCAACTTTGTGGGAACAGTTTGGAGCTGGCCCCTTCCTCTTCCAACATGACTGTGCACCAGTGCACAAAGCAAGGTCCATAAAGACATGGATGACAGAGTCTGGTGTGGATGAACTTGACTGGCCTGCACAGAGTCCTGACCTCAACCCGATAGAACACCTTTGGGATGAATTAGAGCGGAGACTGAGAGCCAGGCCTTCTCGTCCAACATCAGTGTGCAACCTCACAAATGCGCTTCTGGAAGAATGGTCAAAAATTCCCATAAACACACTCCTAAACCTTGTGGACAGCCTTCCCAGAAGAGTTGAAGCTGTTCTAGCTGCAAAGGGTGGACCGACGTCATATTGAACCCTATGGATTAGGAACGGGATGTCACTTAAGCTCATATGTGAGTCAAGGCAGGTGAGCAAATACTTTTGGCAATATAGTGTATGTAGCTCACTGAGTGGCAATCACATCCTATGCACAGATCCTACCTCCCAGCTGCTGTTAAAATCTTTAATGCTCTCAGCAGACCCAGAAATGGTTTATAAACAGGCTACTGGTTGCACTGGTCCTTGGTCTGATCAAGAGTTATTTGCAATTTTTCTAATCCGCTCAGTTTATATTCTAAAGATGTTAATGACCACAGATGCTGATTGATTTTTGCATTGTTTTTTCCCATTTTAAGGTCTTTGTCTATACAGGCTGACTGCAGCTTTTCCTCATTTTGTAAGCCTAATGTTATTTTTCTTTCTCTGTCTTCTTCACAGCAATGTTTCTCATATTTACCTGAATATGCATTTCTTTTAATAACAGCACAGCATGTTTTAGTTCCCAGTATGTTTTTTTTCTCTTTTGCTGTACAGCTTAAGTAAAAAAAGGTTTTGTAAGTTCTGTGTTGTGTCTCCTTATTACTTGTTTTTACCACAGTCACACCCTAACTGGTGGAACAATGGGGATTTTCTATTCTATACTCAAACCTGTTTCCTTGTTCATCAGTTCATTGTAGTAGGCGAAGAAAGCTCTGAACTCTGCCGGCCTGTGAGAGAGGACTTTGAAGACATTTGGCAAAAAGCCTCCCTGTAAGGAAAAAATAAAAAGTTAAAAACTCAAACGAAATGTTGCAGAAACTTTTTTTCCCCTGTTGATTCACCTTTGACTCCACTTCCTCCATAAGCTCTACTATATCATAAGGCATGTCCTTTCTGTAAGGGACAGGATAGCGGCTGATCTGCTCCGTAGAACTGCAGGAGCGTCTGCAGCCTGCAGCCCTCAGATGATCTGCCTTCACCCGCAGCGGACGGAGCCTCGCCTGCATGAACAGCAGACACAGTCCAGCAAAATACTAGAACCCAAGAGTCACTAATGCATTCAACTACTTACCAAGTGCGCGGCCGTAGAGACACGAAGCAGCTTCAACAAGACATTATTCGCCATGTCAGTCAACTGAAAAGAGAATTGGATGTAGGCCGATTATTATTGTTTTCTAAGTAAACTCAGTCAGATAGAAAGGAAGTCAAAATTAGACCAGCTCTTAAATAACGCTATTTAAATATTAAAGCTATGTATAAGTATTGGGTATATATAACGACTATGGATATATCTATCGCTAATAGTGGTTGAGTTAACAGTTTGTTAACCTTTTTTCTTAACACGTTCCTTTGCTTCGTTCCTATATATGATCCTAAGGGTCCAGTGAAACCAGCCAATCAACGAGCAGCACTGAGTCACGCCTGCTGTTCTCAACGCCCTGCTGCAGTAATTCATTCTTACCGCCAGGTGGCAGTCAATAGCTCAGATTGACCACAGCGCACATCAAGCGTTTCTCATTGACCCGGAAGAGATTTCGATGAAAGATTTTTTTTTTTTCCACTTCTTTCATTTTTGTACACGAGAATTGGTTGGAAATTAAAAAAAAATAATATCTAGTTTGAGGAGGAGTTTTACAAAAACACAGACATGTTTTACCATGTAAGTATGTATATGCTATTATCCTAATCTGAAGAGGCTGATTCGATCACTTATTTTGCAACGTTTTAGCAGAGCGTGGTCATGATGGTTGCATCTTCAAACTTTTCCGTAGCTCCTTTTTACTGGTTAAACTGTTTGTTTTTTGTTTTAGATATCTTTGGAACATGAAATCTTATTACACCCGAGATATTTTGGACCCAACCTGCTCAACACTGTGAAGCAGAAGCTTTTTACTGAAGTAGAGGGAACCTGCACTGGCAAGTGAGTGAATTTAGATCTGTTCTGTATAATATTATTATCACACTGCGCTGGTTTTAGCCTCTTGGTTATAAACCTACATTCTTCTGTTGGTAGTTTGAAGCACAACATGAAAAATATAAGCCAAGGCGTCTGTTTTTTGAAGTTTCTCTTAGAAAAAACATTTGTCACATAAATATAAACAAAAAAACAACAATATTTTATTAAGTAGACTCCTTAATTACTGCACCACACAAACTAAATAGAAAGGAATGTATTAGCTAAAAAATAATACTTATGTATTTGCTAAAAAATATTACTTATAATTTTGCAAATAAATTAATATGTTGATTACTTTTTTTTAGATTCATCGATTAATAATTGGATAGCCCAATGTTACTTAAAGAAGATTTTTCATGAAACTGAACCAGGTGAATCTAAAGCTGTTCAACCTGAGGGGTTCTGGATGCAACATATTAACAGAAAAAAACATAATATTTTTTTTATTTTTGGTTATCTTAAATGCAAAATGTTTTTCTTTTTCTTTACAACATTGGTTATAATTACTGTTCTAAGTGGGTCGCTCTGTCAGACAAAGCCATGGTTTAAGGTCTATACTCCAGTTAAAGATTAATCGATTACTAAATTAGTTTACGGTTATTTCAATAATCGATTAATCCGAGGCGCAGCCAAGGTGTTGAGGGGATCCATTTTGGTGGCCTTAGGATTGCGTCTCTGCTTTTTGCAGATGATGTGGTCCTATTGGCTTCATCAGGTCGTGATCTGCAGCTCTCGCTGGATCGGTTCGCAGCCGAGTGTGAAGCGGCCGGGATGGGGATCAGTGCCTCCAAATCCGAGGCCATGGTCTTGAGCCGGAAAAGGGTAGAGTGCCTTCTCCGGGTCAGGGGGGGTGTCCTGCCCCAAGTGGAGGAGTTTAAGTATCTTGGGATCTTGTTCACGAATGAGGGAAGAAGGGAGCGGGAGATCGACAGGCGGATTGGTGCAGCGTCTGCCGTGAAGCGGGCGCTGTACCGGTCCGTCGTGGTGAAGAGAGAGCTGAGTCAAAAAGCGAAGCTCTCGATTTACCGGTCGATCTATGTTCCTACCCTCATCTATGGTCATGAGCTCTGGGTCATGACCGAAAGAACGAGATCGCGGATACAAGCGGCCGAAATGGGTTTCCTCCGTAGGGTGGCTGGGCTCTCCCTTAGAGATAGGGTGAGAAGCTCGGTCATCCGGGAGGGACTCGGAGTAGAGCCGCTGCTCCTCCACGTCGAGAGGAGCCAGTTGAGGTGGCTTGGGCATCTGGTTAGGATGCCTCCTGGACGCCTCCCTGGTGAGGTGTTCCGGGCACGTCCCACCGGGGGGAGGCCCCGGGGAAGACCCAGGACTCGCTGGAGAGACTATGTTTCTCAGCTGGCCTGGGAACGCCTTGGGGTTCCTCCTGAAGAGCTGGAAGAAGTGGCTGGGGAGAGGGAATTCTGGGCCTCCCTTTTTAAGCTGCTGCCCCCGCGACCCGACCTCGGATAAGTGGAGGAAGATGGATGGATGGGATGGATTAATCCGATTAATTATTTTAGCCCCACTTATGTCTATAAAGTGCTAATAAACCCCTCTAAAAATTTATAAAATAAAGCCATTGTTATTCCTGTGTTTACCAATGAAAAAAGCTCTTCATTCAAGATTCCTACATAATTGTTTTATCAGATAAGCCTAAAATCATTTAAAAAGATGATTTTTGTCTTAAAGATTCAAGGAGAATTTTGTTCGTAGACAGACAAGACGATCTCAGGGGAATTTCTTACTATTTTGTTCTTTAAAAGTCAAAGCTTTAGATCAACAAATGTGTGGGGTTTATGAGAGCTGCTGATTTAAACGATTTCATAGTGAGAAAACCTTGTATAAAATGTCATTAAACCTGTAAATTACATTTGCCTCTTTGTTTTCTTTTGTTTATGTTTATTAAAAGTATGAACTCAGGTAAAGCTGACCAGTGATTGGAACTAAATATGGCTGAACAGCAGACACATAGGCACAAATGAACTGCTACACGTTTTTAAGTTTAGGAAATTAAAACACATAATATAATGAAAATTTTGTCTTGAATGTTGGCAAATATTATAGTGAACTTTAAAAGTTGTGATATATGAAATACTGCATTTAAAAGATTCACATTTTTGTGTGTGTTTTTTTTTTTTTCAGGTATGGCTTTGTCATCGCAGTCACCACCATTGACAATATCGGGGCAGGCGTAATCCAACCAGGCAGAGGCTTTGTCCTCTATCCTGTGAAATACAAGGCCATCGTCTTCCGGCCGTTTAAGGGAGAAGTGGTAGATGCTGTGGTCACTCAGGTTAACAAGGTGAATTGTCATGCTACTTTTTTTTTTTTCCCCCTGTTAAAATATTAGAGCAGTTTGTTGATACAGACGTGTTTGGTTAAAAAAGTCAGTTAAAAGTTGTATTAAAAGGCTAAGAATCCTGCTCCTTGAAACATCTACTTCATCCAGATAGCACAGATACATGCTAAATAATCTATTTGATAAATGCAATTCATTTATCAATTTTATCAATTATGGGTAATTTTAGACTTTTCTTACTCTTACAAATACTTATTGCTGATGTGCAACAATTGCTGAGAACATTTTCTGATTCATAACCTCTATATTGGTGGCTGATTTTCTACTATTTAGAAGCCATGAGATGTTGAAACAAAATGCATAGAAATGGAGATATCATCAGTAAAGTTGAAAATGTATTCCAAAACGCAACATTCCGACATGTAAATCTCGTATGTAGGTAAGACAGACTTCTGATGCGTTGTACATATGATGTAACAGATTGGAGCTGTTTTAGAAGAGGATTTAAAGCCTTTGAAATCTTTTTGCAAAATAACTTTTTAGCTACAGCGACATAGAAACCAGTGTTTTTTTATTTTGTTGAAACCTTTAACCCAAGGTTATTATTAAGTTAAACTAAATAAAGATATAAAAAAAAATGTATCAACTGAAATAAAATAAAAACTAGAGCTGGCAAAAAAAACAAACTGAAACCTTATTTGGAAACATAGACTACTTTGTTAATGCCACTGGGGGCAATTCATTTGAGCAGGACACCAGACAAACAAACAAAAATAATCATGTAATAACATTAAAAAAACACATAAAGAAAATAAAAAGATAACACAGTTATCTTCAAAACAATTTAAAAGAATTTAAGAATTTAAAAGTCGAACAGCTGTTGGTATAAAAGAAGTGTAATGAACTAATTAAAACAAACTGGATTTTAAGAGGGAATAAGCTCAGTGTTCATTTGTGTCTTGAATATAATGCATTAGTGTGAGGTCTAGTTTCCAGTTGCAGTTTTACGCCAGCAGATGGCCGGTACACCAGCCAGGTCAGAAAAGACTGTCGCTGAAATTAAGCATTTAAACACCTTTAACACTCCCCTCTTCCACGTGCCTTCAAACTAGAAACATTTTAGCTTCTAAAATAGCCAGACAACATTTATTTTAAGTAGTGAAAAAATAGTTTCTCTATCCTGCTGCAGTCTTTGAATACATTTTTTGTGTTTTACATGACTTTTTTTGTGATTCTTGCAGGTTGGGTTGTTCACCGAAATTGGCCCAATGTCTTGCTTCATTTCTCGCCATGTAAGTCAGTTTGAACTTTTTTTTACTGGAACTTCTTTCTTGCTGTGCATGGACATTTAGAGTTCTTACTGCTCAGTAAAAAAATGTAATATAAATCTTTCTATTGCAGTCCATTCCCTCGGAAATGGAGTTTGACCCCAATTCTAATCCCCCTTGCTATAAGACCGTTGATGAGGTTTGAATATCTTTTTTTATTGCATTTTCTGAATACCTTCCCTAATTTAAAACCATATTCAGTAGTGTTCACATTGTTTTTAGCAATTACACAAACACTATGGCTGCTGTTATTTGAATAACAATAAAGGGATTTTCTATTCTATATTTGATGTGGTTATTTTGACATTTCTCAGGGTAACACTTAGTACGGTAACTTAAATGTCTTTTTTCAAAGGACATTGTAATCCAGCAAGATGATGAGATCCGTTTGAAGATTGTGGGCACCAGGGTTGACAAGAATGACATTGTAAGTGGATTTATGTATTTAAATGTTATTTAGTAAAGGTGTGGACTTACATTTAACTGTAAAACTTGCTGAGAACTTCTGCCTCCCCTTGTTTCTTTTGACAGACTTTTACTCATCGCTCTTGTTAATGAAAGCATGTCTCAACTTCAGCTTCTGTTTCATGATCAACCAGTCATGCCACTTTAATCTGCTACACATGTTTGAAAGCTTGCTTTGCATACTTCTAACCTTTACTACCTAGAGCTCAGTTTAACTGCTGTAGTAACAGGCGAATTTCATATGGATCCATATAATTTTGTGATTATGACTTGTTTAGAGTAGAGAGGTAAAGAAATTTAACAGACGCTTCTCACAAAGTTGTCTATAGATTCAGTTCTTGCCAAAGTGTATGGGTTGTTATTCGGATCAGATGTTG